TACTCTTTTGGTTTTTCTGTGTTAACAGTTAAAAGTTGGTTAATCCTTTTTACCTTTTTCTTCATTCCACGTGAAATTCCAGTGGGGGGGGCCGTTCCGCTTTTGTTATGAGTTTTATTACATATCCGCAGGGAGCAACGGCATGTGAACCGTACCGTTATCTAAGGCGCTTACTAAAAATAGCCACGAAATTGAATTTAAGCCAAGGGTTTAACTTGGGAGGAGCAGTATTAGAAAAGATGCTTCCATGGAGCATAAGTTGGAAAGGCATATTAAAATTTCTCCCATTACTCTACTTCTCACGCATGCTCGAGCATTTTCAAAGAGCTTAAGGCTAAAATTATGAGTTTATATTTTCCTTTTGTCTTTGTTTTACATACATTCTGAGAATTAGCATAGTGGCATTATCCTATTAGTGAAAAAGGGTTCTTACGTCCAAAGCCTCTTGATATTATTGGCTATAAAGTTTAACTTTGTTTTCATTTTTTATTTCATTTCATCATGGGTAACCTTCGCGAGTCATTCCATACGTAAGTCAAGTTTCCGTTTTCCACAAACAAAAGCTAAAAGCTGGCAAAACCACGCGCTCTTAAATTCAACGTTTATCCTCTGACCAGCTTTAGCTCTAGGGTATAGACAGATCCAGTGTCTCCGTGTATATGTATAGAACAGAGCCGCCTTTCTTGAGCGCCTTGTGAAGCTGAAAAAACCTGCGCCTCCACCGGTCACGCTAGCGTGATATTTCAAAAGCAGTCTGCACGCAATATGTCAATTCTTTGATGGCGTGTCTCTTCATAGCAAGACGCATGTTTGGACACAAAAGAGAACACCATCCACTCTGGCCAAATTTCGCGCACGATTAGCTTTTTTGTGAAATTTTAATTACATGTCCTTATGGAACATGTGCGCTTAACGTCTATCCCGATGGCATCTATTATTAACTTCGATTTCACCTGCATCTTAGGCAATTCATCTGCTCAATTTACAGGTTTTCAACATTCTTGCGTAAGTGGTGAAGATGTCGACAGCATCTAACATCCTCGTTTCAGTTAACGGAGGAGTCAACATTTTTACAGTTGAATTCAAGCGCACGATATCATACCTTATTCACCAACCTACCTCTGTGGAGGTCATTTTGCATCGCAGCAATTTTGTTCCCTTTCATCTAGCAATGTAGAGTCTTAAGTTTTAGGAAAATCTTAAACCACGAGAAAAGGCGATATGTGGAAAAGCGTTGTTTAAAAATTCAATATTTTGCGTTACTCAATTTTTCCCAATTTTATTTTTTTTCAGATTCCTTTATAAAGTGCACTCACATCGAAGGGGCAACATAGTCAAGCGTTGCAAGAAACGTGTGTTGACGAACACACGTTTCACAACTTCATCAAATAAGACTGAAATAGAGTAGTGAAATAGATGGTAAGCTGGTGGGATAGTGGTTGTAGGCAAGAAAGATATAAAACTACATCCACGAAGAAATTTTAAGAATATTTTGGGGAAACCCATGAAGCAAATATTCTTGGGATACTCGTCTCTGCCACTCGTATTTTCTTTCACGTTTATCGATGAAAGAAGTACAAGTGGTAGGGAGGGGGTGTCACCAATTCGCAGTTGTCATTTGTTGGACTCCTATCTAAACATTAAAATACCTTAAAGGAGCAATGTCTCACATGGTATGATTCTCTCTGAAAAATTGCCGTTATTACTAATTTTTTTTTTCAAGATCCATTTGAAAGCTAAAAATAACCTAACGCCACAATTGCGCAATAAGAAAATTTGGAAATTTCACTTGTAAATCTCCGTTCGATCAGACATTGAATCTATGACGGTCTTTTGTATTTTGTTCCCATGATTGCATAAGTAAGGCCAAATACTTCCACTTTTGTCCGTTTTACTGCAAAGAGAAGCATAAAATCTAAGACTGTCGAGTGCCTAATTCCAGCCTTGGATTAATTGTACCAGGAAATATTAATCAAAGTGCTCTGTGAGCAAACTCGTGAATTGACACATGATTTTTTAGATTATGTTTAATGTTATCTGGTTTAAGGAATTTTGTGGTTGATTGCCATATCTAGAGTACGAGCAGTAGTTCAGTGTTCGCTAATGTAGCAAAGAAACAAAGTAACGTTGGGATAAGAAGGCATTACAATTGAAATGATCATGCTATTACATTTGACAAGGTGGATGATGTCATGTGTTTTAAACGTCTATCATTTTTGTTTCTGGTTCAAAAGAAAAGGTTGGAAGTAAATGTGGGTGAAAAGTGAAATTTACTGTCTTTCGTTGTAAATATTAGAAAATCAAGGCAATACTGTCTTAATGAAAACATTAACGATTCCCTTTTTATCAAATGAGACAAACGGGAACGAGTTTTGAGTGATATAACTAGGCCAAGCCTGCCACCGTCATTTTGGATCTCCGCCTGGGTAGATTTAAGTCACGTGCTAGGCAACGTATAATCAATAACAAGATAGAATTTCATTTCAGGCCTATTTGTCAATTTTGTGGTGTATAACTTTCGCATTTTAGTACGTTGTATGTATGTTGAATCTTCAAATTGTCTTGAAACTTAAAAGAAAATTGTTCTTTAAAAATTCACTGAAAATCGGTAGCTAAAATTGTTTGATTAGGTGTTATTTGATTTTCTGTTAACTTGTTATTTCGTTAGTCGCCGGCATCTTCTGTTGCTTCACACAGGAAAAACACGCGCGACGAAACGTAATGATCAATTTTGTCCTCAATCTCACGCTATAACAGAAAAAGCTTTTGAACATCTGTAAACTCCGAGCGCTTCGCAGTAAGTGATATTTTCAATGAATCTTCGGATTGTTTTCAAGTTCAAGGATTGTAAAGTGCAATTTTATGAAAAACGAAGGTTGTTCTGTTATTTCAGTGTGAATCCTTGCATGCTTGCCAGTCGCTGGCGCCGCTTGTTGAAACTAAAACGGAAAAAAAACTCTTTTAAGATTATTATTGGCTTCTTTTTCATCCCACCACTATTCTTAGCAACAAAGGTCACCATTTCGTCTGTTTATTGCTCGCCAAAAACTATCAAATGCACTCAAAAGCCTAAAATCTGAAAAAAGTTTACAGGAATCGACCAATCGAGCGAGCGAGCGAATGCCATTCCTCACATCGTATCTATAACTCGCTCTTGCGCATGCGCGCAATTCACGAGTTAAAAAGGGGAATCCAACGGGATAAATAATCAATGATTCGTTTACACAAAACAACTCAATGAAATTTTCAATAATTTTCTAGTTTCCTGCCTGACAGGTAACCTCCCTTAAAGCTAGAAGTGCGGAGAGCATATGGCTTTTGAAACCCGGTAATATTGGTAAAACCCTGAGGCCAAAATTTTTGCCTATTATCCGTAGGGAATTTAACACTTAGATGGTTAGGTAAGGCGAAAAGTCGCGAACAAATCGTTGTGGGTTTTGTTTTAACCACACGAAAAGCAGCAATCATGTTTACAGTATTTAGGTCCATGAAGTTTGAACTGAAATGATGAAGCTTGAAGCTTGATAATTGTTACCTCCTGCATTCTTGAGAATTCTGAGTGTCGTGTGATACTTTAAGGGTTTAAACCGCTCAAGCCCTAAGAGTCACTAGAAGCTTATTTCTCCTCACAATAATCACAACTAAGTAAAAAATTAAGGTCAGGAAAATGAAGGAAATAATCACCAACGGAAGGATCTCTTGACTCTTCTTGTCAGTATCTTGGAAAATGTGCAGAGAACAGTGTTGAAAATATTCACAATGTAAACACTTAAGGGCGTAAAGGGTTAAAACGGAGTGGATGATAAGTCCGTTTAGACTTCATCAGCGTGATCAATTAGAGCGATCTTATCCTAGTTCATGGCCAGCAATTAGCACCAATTACCACGCGCGTTTTGGGGGTAACGTGGAACGTGAACTCTATTTAATAGTGCAATTTTTTTTTTTTTGGGGGGGGGGGAAAGAGGGTCATGCTACGTATTTTAACCAATGTCCTTAAAATAATACGTTGAAGTGACACTATCAATAAAATGTCCCTCGTGCGTTCTTACCCACACAGTTTGTCAGTCAAGTTTTATCGAACTCCTCATAAATTCATCTAGTGCGTTAAGCTGAGTTTGCTATTTTGGATGCTACTAACGCTATGCGCATTATTTGGGACCCCATCGAGTAACTATCCCTTTTTTTCTTACTCTTAAAATGGGTTGAACCACAGCGAAGAGTAACCCTTTACCCGTGAAAAGTTTGTAGGCGTTTACATGACTTGCATGAATTACATGAATTGTTGTCACTCCGAGGGACCTCCAAGGGTTGACGATTGCCACGCAAACAGTCCCCTGACAAACCCTGATCCTGCGAAACATGATTAAGGGTGGCTTTGCGCGCAAGAACGCACCCCCGAGAGAGAATAAACAGAAGGCGGCGCGGTCGCGCGCGAGCGCGAGAATCCCGAGGACATGGTGAGCTTGAACTGGGCCTGGAAACCACCAAAATCGGTGTTTTGCCTTGAAGCAACACATGAAATTCGTGGCACACGTAACCAGGATGCCGAACGATGCACCCAGAAAATGATGTGCTTCGCCCAACGACGTAATCAATCAAGTCACTGGTCAAGACTGGCAAAAACTGTAGGCATCGAGGCTATGCAACTTCGCAAAACAATGTATGACAAGACTGACTTCAACGAGTGGATCTACGATCGCAACGAAAGTGCCCCACGCTCTTCAAGTATGAAAAAATCACGCACATGAAGAAACCCTATGATGATCGAACATGGGTAGTTCAGCTCATGGTCTCTTGAATCGAGTCTTGGCCTGTTTGTGTAATTTACGACCGAGAAAAAAATAATTTCTGTCCTCAGTGATTTAATTTCTTCTCAAAAACATAATAGTCTCGCCCTCAAAATTAACTGACGGTCTTCCAACATAACGATACTGAACCTGGTATTTCTAACGTTGATTGGTTATAACAAAGTTAGAAGATACACACATCGATCAACTTTTGTGGTAATATTTTTATTTGACTCTTTAAAACGAAGTTCGTTCATTCAACAATCGTTTGGGAACTGAACAAATTAAGCACTTTCAGTCTGTTTCATATAACATACCCGAAGTATATAAAAAATATTTGATTTGTCAAAATTTTCAGTATGCAAAATCCAGACACACGACATACAATAACAACCCAATTTGGAGCAAACGTGGCACAACTGATGCATTGAAGTTCTCAGCGAAGATACCAATGAGTTATAAAAAAATATATCAATATTGGCAAAACTTACTGAACTTATCTGGAAACGATTCAAAAGGTATAAGGCTCCTGACATAATTTGCATGAAATCATTCCAAAACCTTCCACAATGGTAAACGTTTAAGACTCTTAAACAACTTGCTCATTCGAGATTAGTTTAGAGTTATCTGTAACAAGAAGGTGAATTTGTGGTCTCCATACCCTAATAACAAATTTGCCACCAGGAGACTTCCTAAATCTTGTTATATACTCTCAAAAAAATTAATTGAAGCTAATTAAAAGCAAAATCTGGAGGGCTTGGAGTATGGAAGCAGAACAATGTCACTTAAGCGCCCTAAAATTTTGTTCTGACCTCAATGATGCATTCCAATTTCACCTTCAACCCCATGACCCAAACCTCTTACCTATGAACTAACTATAATTTTTGCCTATAAATATTTTCTGTAGTTTTGTTTGATCATTGAAATGCCACTTCTCAATGACTAAACTGTATCTAAGCTGAATGCCAACCTACTCTTAGTCAATGCATGCATCAAGAATACCTTATTTCTATAGAGATCCAATTTGTGCTCTTTATAATGGATGGTTAATATCTACACTATTCTTTGCAGTTATGTACACTATACAACTGGAAATCTCATTGGAAAACCAAAATAATGAATTTTTGAGGTAACAAAATAATTTATATAATTATAATAATAGCAATAATAAATAGCTCTCATTGTAAGCAATTTTTGCATGTGCTATAGTCTTGAAGTGATTTGTAATAATATGCTTATTTAAACATAGCCTTTTAAAAGTTCTTTTAGTGTAATTTCATCGAAATTAAGTTATTACATATGTATCTTTAAATTTGCATGAGTGACCATTATAAAAGCAATCTCCTGCTCAATAAATTAAAGAAAATATCAAAATTATTCCAAAAAAAAAGACCAATTCTCTCCACAACAACCCCTACATATGGTTTAATAATGAAGTTCAGCTGCAAACTAAATGTATGTTCCTGCTGGTCATCAATGTAGTGTGACACATTCAGACTTGAACACTCCACAAAAAGGAATTCTCCCTATGAAACTTCAATAAAAAAATATTCCTACTAACATTGATAAAATTCTCACCAGCTGTGGGCTTTTAAGATCAGCTTTAGAAAAAACAAGTCATTTCTCTCAATTCCATCATCAGAGACCCAAACATAGAAACTGCTATCCATCAGACCCCAATGAATCCCAGAAGGCATTTTGATTTGCCAGTCTCTGATTAATAAGGTCTAAAGCACCTGAAAACACAAATCCCCACTTTTGAAAAGCAACTTTGTACCTAACTGACATTCTGGACACAGTATTGATTTCAGAAAACTTCAAGTTTTCATACTTTAGGTGTGCTTTGTTCTTCAATTTAGCACAGTTTCTTAGCTGGAGCCTTGCTTTCTTCCCTTTCTTCATTGAGGAATTTTGAACTGTGCATCTAGCTTTACGTTTCTTTACTTTTGGTGAGGCTAGAATGGTACGTGAGACAGAAGCATTAACGAGGGATTTTTCAGAGTAGTCATTTACAACTCTACGCCCAGAATTTGTGAACCGTCCTCTTTCACAAAGAGTAAAACCTCCTCCACCATATGGTTTTAATTTTTCCTTAATGTCCTCCACCTTGACAACAAGATTCCCAAGTGGATTTGGAGACTCTCTCCTAAACACAATTCCATTGGAAAGTGATGACTTTTTCTTACTCGCAGCAACAGCTTTCTCATGAAGAGGCACAAGCTTTATTTCAGGAGAGAGAAGGCTAGTATTTGAGTTCATAGGTTTTTGCCTTTTTCCTGACAAACATCTTTCATTTGGGACCTCGACTTCATTATGAAAATTGTTCAAAATAATTGATTCATTTCCATCTGACACTGGACTTGATGGAGGAGAATAACTGCTGAGGTCAAAGGATAAATTTTCACAGCCGCACACAGCATTGTCATTAGATGAAACAACACTTGAAGGAAAGACACTTTCATCCAGATGCCATCTAGAATCACTTTGCCCAGATACAACTGATGTCATGGACATTTCCTCGTGTGAAGGATCTCTTTGTTTCTTATGTAAAATAGACACAAAGAGATAAAATGAATATTAACCTTTTAATCCCTGAGACTGACTGACATCTTATCTCCTTAAAGTTTCACCCACATTAAGGTCATGAGAATAAAGGAAATGATCATCAACTTATGAAGCTCTTGATTGTTAAAAAATCCTTTTCCAGTAACACAGGAATTGTATACAGAATGGTATGGACAATATATGCCTACTGACATTAAGGTGTAAAGGGCACAAATAATAAAATTCCAGGGATGTGATTTCCTTACTATGCATTTGTACTTTTTTGCTTCAAAGTACATCATTTTTATCCAAGATAAACAAATGTAGAAAAAGGGATAAAAATGGGCTCAAGGGGTGCCTCTATGCTTGCACAGCTAGAACAAAGCAGCACCAAAGAACCAAATATTTCAGTCCATTGAAAAATCAGATGATAATTACATGATTGATACTTACCAAATTATTTCGTGAAAAGTGTGAATAGTTATTCACCCTTTCTGACTCAGAAGATGGAGAATCATCAGTCATATCTGACATTGTTTCGCTACATTCAAGATGAATGGGAGTTCCAGTGGATCCTGATCTGTCCCACATTATAGGTGTGAGGTGTAGTGAGGCAGTAAGTTTTTTACCAGCAGAAGTATGTGCTGATTCACTTGAGGATGATGAAGCCACAGAATTTCTTCTCCCAGTCACCAAAGACTTTGAATAAACAGATTCTGTGTTACCATGACTCACTTCTGATAAACAAGGAAAGTCCATAGGAGATATTTGGCTAACAGAGTCAGAAACTGTACCATCATCAGTTAGAATATCTTTGGCAAGCATACCAAGTTCATTTGTGTAGTCATTTGATGTAACTGAGGTGATGGCAGTGTCAGCATGACAATGCTTTCCAAGGAAAGGACCTTGAGATGGTGGAACAGTCCATAGAGAATTTCTAGCTTTGTTTACATTAAGCACACTGCTATTTCTTTTCCTCACAAACTCTTCATATTGTTTCAATGCATTTGAGGGAAGTTCCTTTTGTGACATTGGCACAAGGCATACTTTGGCACTCAACCTCTTTTTTTGATTCATCATTCATATCTTTTCGATAAAGCTACAGCTGCAAATTAAATAAATAGAAAGACATAGGGTAAGTAGCACATATCAAAATTTTTGAGAGACATCATCCTCTTTAAGCCAGGTTTATTAAACAAAGGGCATTCATCCAATAGGGGCATCTAATGCAAACTTACCAGCATAGGTAGCATTTCTTGGACAAGAGGCATTTATCTGAGAGGGAGCATCTACCAGATCGTTTACAGCACCGTAATTCTTCAAGTATAAACGCTTTTGTTAGAACATAGTAAAGCAATGGAACAGCACACTACTAGTCTCTACTCTTGGTCTGTATTCCATATACTTTAGTCCCACAAATGTCCTATTTTGCTCGGATGACAAGTAAACTGGTAAATTATGCGATCAGGAACATGGGTATTCCCTGACTGTAGGAGAATTACTGGGTATGCAATAGCTCAATCTGTGAGCTACATACGAAATTGCATGTTCGTGTAAGGTTCAAGACCATGTGGATTGCCTTCAGCCATTTCCTTCAGCGTTCTCCGCGATTCGTTTCAGAAAGCTGTTGGGTTCGCGTCCGTGCACCTAAATCACGATTATTTAAACGTACGATATCTTTTTTAATTAGGTTAACATCAGGTTAAGCATGTTTTCAAGCATCGCAAAAAAAGTACGCGTTACCTATCTCATAGCTCAAAATCTCAACTGTTTTCACTAAAAATCCACTTAATATCACTGGAGAAACGATTTTTATGACAGAAAGAAACACAAACCATTAATACGAATGAAAACAACTACAGATTTTCGAGTTTGGCGTTCAGAATATTCACTACAATTATACGGTCAGCATGGCCATCATTTCATTCCGGCAAGGTTTCTACGACTTTCTAGTACAGTAAATTCTCAGGGGCCTTACCTTGAACGTGAAATAGCCAGAAAGAGTTCAGCTAAGACGGCTACATTGATGCGGATGTCAGGAAAGCATGCAATCGAGGGTGACGCTATATCGAAGGTGTTCGTCGAGGGTAAGAGTACACGGTAATTTTGGTCAGCGGGAAAATTATGAAACCCGCGAATATTGCGAAAGCCCGCGAAAGGATGACATCTAAAAACTGAAGACAATTTTTGATTAAGACATTAGAATGCGTAATGATGGCGGTGACTAGTCATTCTTCTTTAAATAAATCGGAGATTGACTTCCTTGAGGAAAACCTTGAAAATTGTTCTGTTGAAAACCAGTACTTCTTGGGTTATTTCGACGGGATAAGAGACGAGTTCGAGGATACGCTCGAGAGGTTTCTTTTTATTAGTTCCACATGCTTTAAAAAAGAAGGCCTTGAACTCAAAGGAATTAAATCACAAGAGGTTTTCGAAAAATGATGGGCAGTTTCTTTTATTTTTAGCTAATTTTTTTGCCTTTATCAATTCGGTGTGGGCCTTGTAGAGACTCGATCTTTTGCCGCAATTTTTAAAAACTTATGCAATGCACCAAATATTCAAAAGTATTTCATATATGGGAAAGCCCTTGGAAAACGCTCTAAGTGCGTAATCTAGTATACCTAAATACTTTTTCAAATTATGCATTTGCAGCTTCTCCCGTCTTTGAACACAATGATGGTAATGAACCGATCCAATTTTTTTGGAAAACAGTGTTGACAAATTGTTCGTATTACTTAAGTAAAAAACATTGAACTTCTCTCAACGGACTAAACGCTGCAAGGAGAATCTCTCTCATAATTTACTTTTTAAGAGACGACATTGCCATCTAAAATTCAAACGTTGCTGTTAGGGTTATTAACGCATTGATAACCTCGTAAATAGCGCAAACATACTGAAAACATTTTTATTAGTTTTTGTATATCTTTATCTGTGAGCCACATGTCAGTAAACAAAAACAGAGAAGTATAGTTTGATGGCTTGTTTTCATGAATCTAGGATTTTGGGAATCGCTATAAACTACGCGATCACGCATTTAATATATTTCTTCTTCTCCTAATGATTGATACTGGAAGAAAATGGTAACGGTGTAATGCTATTTTATGTGCCCGTTATAACAAAAAAATTGTACTTGCATTTAGCTGACAGGTAAAATCCCATGAAAATTGTTTAAAAGAAATATATCTCAGTGGTTATTTTATGACAACCACAAAATTAAGAAACTGCCGCAGAACCTCAAAGCTCCTTTGTTCAGAACGATCTTGAAAAATTCTTTTTTGAATTTTTAGTGGGCAACAAGTGCTGAAGCTTACATGACCTATTTTAAATTTAACCGCTGTACTATAAGCTTGTGTGTTCGACCCTTGACGAACGCCTTCGATATAGCATCACCCTGCAATCGATAGCTCTGCCGCGAACAGATCACTGAGTGGTCCCGCGTTCTCAATTTGCAGCGGAGATTGCAAATAAAGATATACACGCATTTATGCCTCTGGTCGTGTTCAGAGTAACTAAGGTCCTTTTATTTAAACAAAGTTTAGCTGTTGTTTAACAAAACCGCGTCCTAAACATTCCTAAATTTAGTTGAACCTTTAATCTGACATTTATTTTGTAAACAGCGTCAAGAGGGCCGAAAACTAACGATAGAAGGACATTTATTTCATTACATAAACGCTCTTATATTTAGCCGAGAAAGCCTGAGTACCAGGCGTAAAACAGCGGGCCCTAAGGGTCAAATAAGTGCTATATACAAGGAATAAAAAAACTCGAAAACAAAATTTGAATCATGGTTTTCGACATTGTCATGCAAAAAACTTCCGATCACTTAGCACAGAATATTTAAAGCACAGGATGTCTCTTTGCGCGCTTCTGCTTGACTGAAAGGCAGTAAATTGTCGGCTCACTTAAGCACGCCTAGAAAAATTGAACTTATCGAAGAGGAAATGGAGAGATCGACTGAGAAGAAGGTTACTCTTTGACGCCTTGGGTTTTGTCAGTTCTCCTCAAGCTCAGTTCATAGATAGTCTCTACGATAAGAGTCTGAGGTCCGCATGTAGCCTTACCTCGATCTCAGTTATTTTCTGGATAAAGGTAATAAGATGGCGGATCGCTTGGAGTGAAATTCTGTCGCTGAAAACCACGGAGAATAAGAAGGAAAAGCGCATTTATTGAGCAAAGATTCGCGGTGTGAACTTGCGACGAAACAGACTACTATTTTCGTCTTAAACAACAAATTACTTCAAGGGAACCGACAAACCTCAGCCAACGCCCAGATATTCACTACCACTCCCATCGTTGTCTCTTGTCTAGGCTGAAACGTGCTTAACCGGCATTTTTTCTTTCAACAGGCTCTTTCCATTTTTGTATTCAACATGATCATTTATTAAGACCAACTCCGCCGAGTACAAGTATTTCCCTAAACGTACGAGCTAGAGGAATTAACTGGTGCAAATTCATGCCTCCCTGAATTCCCCTTAGAAGACAGAGTTCTCCGCCAGTGGATTTTGCTCAGTTTTTCGGTGTCTTCGCACCAGTCCCCCAAAAAATCGTTACCAAACGTATTACAGGTTGTGGTTGAGTTGTGGCAATTACGCTTGAAGAACTTTACCATAAATAACAGGAGTTCTTTTTCATTCTATTAAATACCGGATACTGCATTGACTTTGAGTTTTCCCAGACCGAGTCATACGAAACAGACAGACTGTGGCGCTTATTATCATTATTGAAATACAAATGCAATTTTCTTAATTGGTTTTTACTTCGAGATAAAGCCCTGAAGAAAAACCATAAACAGGTAAAGATTTACTTCGTGTTCAAGACAGGTAAAGGCACCCGCTAATGTGGACTAAGCCGTGTCTGTGATGAATGAAATCCCTGTTTAAAACATCCCAAACATTTGGCTTTTTGATATGTTCACTAAATGGAACACCTTGCAAGGCGCTGTTGGCTATCATTGTAACTCAGACTAAGTGATGGTCGGAGACTATTAGAAAAAAATTTCTGAAAATGAAAGATACTTCATCTTAAAACGACCGGGCACGTGTGGTACTCCACAACCATGCGTTGGCGAAGAAATATTTTTATTTTCCTCGTATCATGCCTTCAGATTTTCCTTTTTGCAAGTGTTTTTTATCTTTTTAGGAAGTGCTTCAAAAAATCGGACTTAACTACTAAAGGAGTAGTAACAGAAATTGGTCAAAGGGAAACGGGTCCTTCATCCAAAATGGTGCAAGCAGCATACGACAAGATGTCCTCGTTAGTTCACTTTCCGACGCAAAAGCAGACATTAAACCTAAGTGGAAGTGTTGACAAGAACGAAACGGGTACGTTTTTAAGAGCGGAGGCGGATAATACTTTAAGGGAAGAGAATGAAATTTATCTTATGAGGAGGAAACACAAAAAGACAAGATTAAAACTCATCGTAGCCATTCTCAGCGCACCGATACGATTTGATCGACGGGAAGGGATACGACGAACTTGGATGAACCAATGTTCATCGGAAGAAGTCGTATGTCGTTTCTTTACCGATAGCTTATTCGACATGGAACCGAACGTGCGAAGTGTTCTTGTAAACGAAAGCAACCAATACGGCGATCTGGAATTTATGCCAATTCCCAAGGGATATAACTTCGGACTTCGGCTGTTATGGTTGATGGAATGGTCTGCGGAAAGATATGAGTTTGACTTCTTCTTGAGAATGGACGATGATTACTTCGTCTGCTTAAAAAGACTGTTGTTCGAGATCCCCTTCAGGCCTCAGAAAAGGTAAGAACATACTTACACCTAGACTGACTTGCTATGCAATACGAGGATTTTCGGTGTAACTTAGACTCCCACCTAGTTTAGTAGTTAAAATAGGTTCTTGTTTACTTGTTCACAGCTGTTACATTATTATATGAGAGTACAGTGCTTTCCTCCCGGTATGTTAGCAAACCATAGAGTTAATGATTTTGTAACAGCATACGTTATCTTGTGAATGAACCGTAAACGATTGAATCATTTCATGTACGTTTATCTCGTAAACGATTCTGAATTCCCCTTGGCAAGAAAGTCAAGTAACTTGTCATAGTTATAAAAACTATTTTCCTCGAAAAATCCATCACTTGAATCCTCAAATTTTAGGAGATGATTTGCGTTGAAGGTGTTATGAACGCTGGTTTTAAATAAATCAAATTTTCTATAGACGGAGCATATGAAGTGGAGAAAATAATCCAAAATTTCTATATCAAACAGGAACAGGTACCAGCCAATTTCCTAGGTTGTGTTTACTCTTTCCGTTGATCTCTTGAGCTTTTGATCGCAGAACGGGTACTTGATAGATTTGTTTTGACAATATAAAAGTAATAAAATTAGAGAGATACTGAAAAAATATTAAGCTCTCATCTACTTCAAGAGACTAAGAGAGAGAACAAGAACTGGGTCATTTCATATCCTCTTACACTAAGCCGTAATCGCTCTTACGACTCAAACTAACTAGACTCAAACCCATTAGTCCAAGTCGTCTTCAAAACGTGTGCGGCGCTCAAGTCTGGAAGAAAGGCTCCCATGCTGACCGGGTCGTTTAATTGCGCCTTTGAAGACGACAGGGAGTGAGTTAGTGATTAGCCGCAATAATCTGGCGCTGTCAAAAAGCTCCCAAAAGAGGGTTCAAGTGTTTCTCAGAGCACACAAAATCACTCGAAAAGGGCCCCGAATAGTTCTTAGGTCTTTTGAGAACCGCGTAGACCTCTTTTCCTTTGCTTAGCACTTACAAGTTTTTACTGTGATTTCCAATTTGCGTTTTTTATACAACAATCCCTTCATAATGAAGGTTGTAGCCAATCATGTTTTTTTTCCCATACTTTTAGACTATATTGGGGTTATGTTCACTGTGAAGTGGAAGGACTGGTACGAATAGACGAGGGTTTCCTCCTTTTATCAGAAGACTTGGTATTGGAGTTTACGCGCAAGAGAAATAAGTTGCTTTGTCATCCGTTCGGTGATCAAACAGTCGCGATATGGATGAATGATGTTAAAAATGTTATTTTCTTTCACGATCCTCGAATATTTCACGACGTATCCGCGAAAGTTCCCGAGTTCAAGTCTTTTGATAAAATGTGTTTGAAGTACATCAGTCTGCATGGATCTTATTTGCACGAAATGTTGCTCTATTGGGAGACCTCTTCAAAAGAAAACCATTCTACCTTTTGGGTCCCTTCCATTCAGCCAATCAGTAACCTATGTCCATTAAGCACGCGTTTTGATTGGCGGGCCATGGGAGGCCCTCCTTATGGTTATGAACCAAAACCGTGCGTGCTGAAACCTCTCTGGGACATTGGAAGCATGCATCGAGGAAGGAACATGATGTAAGGACCCTTCATCCCAAAGAAATCGAAGAACAAGACTAATGTGGACAATATTGATCAAATCATAATAAACGCAGAAAACCATACACAATTTGATTCGGCTTAACCAGGTCCACTTTGTATTGACCAATCTACGGTTAGTGCTTGCGGTTTAGTTTTACTGACGCCATATTGATTACTTTTTGAAAACAAAAGCATACTCTTCCCTAAATGTCTGTTGTAACCAGTCTCAGAATTTATCGAGATAAATTTAAATCAATCATAAAAGAGTTAATGTCTAATTAGGAAAACCAAATTAATGGCCTGTACTTTCATAGTGACTTTTAACAGCTAAATTACGCGAACGGCAAACATCAAGATATCACGTGACATACTTCTTGACGCGTGGTTTGAAGTTTGCAGTCCACCTGTGAACATCAGAAATGTTCTTTTGCGGTAAGTGATTTACGACTAACTTTTTCTCACACTTTGAGACTCAAAACTCATGTTCAATGCTCTTATTTAATTCCTGTATTACCTGAAATACCTTCTAGACACACAAGTTTAATTGGACACTAAGAGAGTAGACAGATTATAGTAGTTTGATTTGGTGTGTGTAAAAGCGTTCTGAAATTCTTACAAACATGGCGTTAGGAAACCTTTGCATGTCCTTCTATTGACAGATTTATTGACTAAATTTACACTTTTCTTTGAAAGATGGCTCCTTTTCGATTTGCCTTTTATTTAGCATTCGATGTCGTTAACGTTTGCTAGATTCAAGCGACAACGTCGTTACCGTTATTCAGGAAAAGCTGTACACATCGTCAAAACAGCGAGAGGACCCAATTAATTATGGAACCAATGTCTAGTGGTGGGTAATAAAGAAATGCAAAGTGCGAGCATACGGCAAACTGTAAACTGCAAGCCATAGTCTGCCGTCCGCGATTGTTTTCTATCTCAATCTTTAAGTCTCTTATTTATTTACTTCGTGAAAAGTGTATGGAAACATGCAAAAGAAAGGCAAGTTTTCTACATTCGATTTCCACGGTGGTGCCTTTTTATAATGACAAATTTTGCAAAATAAAATTATTTTTTACATAGTCAGTATTTTTGAAAGAATATCATGACTTCTGGTATGCACTTGAAGTGTTTGCTAATCTATTTCTAGTAGTTGTAAAATATTTCTATACGATTGTTTTAAAATCACTGTATTTGCAGTCATAAATGTAGCTTTTTTTTAATTAAAGTAACACACATCATTCGCCGGAAAAAAATCAATCTTCAGTCACGTTATGTCACTTTTTTCCAATTTTGATCTTGGTGATCTTGGTCACTGTGAAAGTTTCAGCGATACTGGTACAAAAATTAATATATCTTAAATATGGGAACATATCTAATGTATTCAAGGCACATTATATGGGTACATTGAATCTTCTCATACACATTGCACCTATTAAGAAAACAATATGGCGGACTCATAGCATTCCGGTCACTAATGTCCTTCCTGTAGTTTGTGTTTTTAAGGGTGTCACTTAACTACCGATCAGCAGACCGCAGAGCTTCCGCAACCAGCAAAACTTATGGAACTATTGATTTTTTGTAAAAAATAATAATGAAATAAAATAGAAATTAAAAACATCTTAACACTGTTCGATATTTTGTTTTCAGTTATAAAGAAGATAACTTTAAAAGAGAAATGTGCTTATTTCATCCACCTTAAAATTCAACCAAAGGACACCCAAGCTCATGCTGTGAATATGCAAATATGTTCACGTTGCACTATGGGTGAAATATGGGGATTTGCATGGCAATAAACAGTCACGCTCTCAGTTTTAAGAAGATCTAGATTTGTTTTGAATGGGCACAAATTTACTCTGCCAGAAGCCCCTGTAAAAAGTCTGCTTTGCCACTTAATGATCAGTTCTTTTTATTTCTGGTGCATGTCAAGCAAGGCCTTCCAATTGAAGACTTAGCTGTAAGATTTAAAGTTAGTCCAAGTACATAAGGTAGAGTATTTTTGACAGTGGAAAATTTTCTTTACTTGATGCTTGGTCACGTACCCATTTGGCCCACAAAGGCTCTATTTTTTTGTTTGAGGCCAACCTGCGTGATTGTTTCACACAAACTCAGCCGAATACTCGTGTCACCTTGGACTGCAGACCCCAAATTCCAAAGTTTTTCATTCTGAATTTTACACCACATATAAGAGCCACACCCCCTATAAAGGCCTGGTAGGTATTTTCCCAAATGGGGCAGTGACCTTTGTGAGTTCTTTATTCCAGGAATGTACATCAGACAAAAAGGTCATACATTAATGTGGTATTCTTGACTTGTTAGAGGAAGGATCTGAAGTAATAGCAGATAAGGGGTTTTTGATTGAAGACCCTCTAAAAGGGTTGAAGCAACATCAGTGATTCCTCCACTCTTAGGGAAAAGCAAAGATTGTAATGTTTCAGGAGGTAAGCTGTTCACAGCATCAGAGGTTTCTAACACCCAAGAAATTGATAGACTCTGAATACATGTGGAGAGAGCTATAATGAGGATCAAGGAATATCATTTCTTTGACACAGTTCAGCCCCTTGTCTTAGGTGATTCAGCAAATCAGGTCTGGAGTTTTATTTGCTTTCTTACAAATCTGAAAGGACCATTGTACTGAGATTAAAAATTGTCTTTCATATTTTTAGGTGTAGTCCTAAGGTCTAGGATAATTAGGATATTGTGGGACTGTAAAAAATAAATGAGTCGTCCTTTAAGAGGTTGACCAGTGCCATGCCCACTTTTATACCAGCTCATATTTAACACTTTTACACTCCCACAAGTGATCAGCATGAATTTTCTCATTGAAATATAAATACTTTTTCAAGCAAACAGTTGATGAGAATAACAAAAAATCAGGGGCTAAGGGTTACAGCATTGCTGCAACACCAAATTCTTGGCTTTGATTTGGATTTGAACTTTCTCATTTGAAAATCAATACACTATCATGTCAGGCAACAGGTGATGGGATAAAAAAATTATTAACTGAGGGTTACTGTGTCACTGTTACACCAAACTCTTGGAATTTATGTTGAAGGAAATATAAATTTATGATTGCATCTAAGAAGTGAAAAAGTTAAGATGGTTGCAGGTACATTGTATTGGCATAATTTTTCCACTAATAACTAAACTGGTAGCCTATGTAACCACTTTATTAATGTCCTGTTTGCATATTTATAGTGTGATGCAAGGGACTGAAAGTATAGCTTCCAAAGTATGCATTATTTTAGTTTCTGGGGCTTATGATAGCTCACACAACCCCCTACCTTAGGATCTAAATTACATGACCCACCCTAAGGCATAGACATGCTCACCCCACTTAGCACTCTGAACAACCCTACCTTATTCATACTGACTAGCCTCTAATTTTTTAATCATAAGTTCAAAATAAAATGTTTCCAACTTGTTCTTCATGGCTCTTAGAATTTCATTGTCTGATCTTATTCTTTCTAAGTAATGGTCATTTTTGCACCAAACAGATAAATGAACCCATTTACTATCTGAGGGAAGCAAGGGTCCATTCTCTTGGTAGTGATAACTACGAGATTTTTTTAGTTTAAGCACACCATTAACTTCTTTTAGGTATGGCAGTTCCACAACAGTCTGACAAAGAGCATTTTATTTCTAGGGTACCCCATGGTTCTCCTCTCTATGATTGTAAACTCAGCAGTCAGGAGAACATGCCATATGCATGTCAGCATGGCTCATGGTTGCATTTTCTTCATCCTCAGATCCATATATAATTGCAGCTGTTTGAACTGTTTTCTTCATGAAGTGTTCCACAAGTGACTCAAAATCTTTCTTACAGCAAAAGAAATCCTTGAAATTACTTGCAATCAATATTTGGGCTATAAGCTTGTGCGACATTAAGTTGTCTGCCTGATTGCGTGTCTCTTTTTCATACAAATTTGCCTGATCAAGAGACAGGTGTAAGCCATCCCTGAAGTTCTGCTGTGACACGGTCAGCACAGTGGAATATGCCTGAGTTAAACGAGATAAGATAGATAAAGGAGGATCAGCTGCCTAAATGTTTATGTGCACTTTTGGCCTGTTAGACAGTTTGACTCTCTGTTGATATGAAAGCAGAGACCCTTTTGGGACATCTCCAAACTTACAACTTACTTAACTGACATCTTTACTTATGGGTATGGCACTGTGGAGCTGTATTGATGGAAAGTTCTTGATTGCCGTCCTCAACTTTTCAAAAACAGACCCATCACTTTAGGAATAAGATTATAGAGATTGGAACTAGTTCCGTCTGACCGTTTTGCAGATGTATACGGCATTTTCACTCTTTGAATGGTAAGTTCTTGAAGGTTACCAGGATTCACTCCTTGGGAGGTGTTTGGTATATTCCACGTTTGGGGTTAAACGTTTTGGAAACGGCAGGAAAGACAGTCTTAAGATTGATCTATAGACCTAGTGCCTGATAGTAAACCAGAAGACAAAGTAGACTTGCAACATAAAATTTAATAATTATCAAAGACGCCAATCTCATCCTTTACTGTAATTTCCGTGGTTCGTCCGTCGTTTTTCCCTTGTGATTTGTACCTTCGTACCTTAACGATGACTTCGTTTTCCTTTCGGAAGATTTTACTGTGAAAATGATTTGTGTACCCTGTTACAAACTTCACAAATGTTAACTTACAGAGATTTTAGTAAAGTCTAAGTTTTTCTGTTACTTACCTCCCACATCGAATAAATATCCTTCGCAAAAATTACAATAACCCCGCATCAAAACTTTCTTAGGTACCTTTGCTTCTTCTTTTGCCCACTCTTTGAAAAATCGTAAGCTTATTTCGGGTAAATTTTTTAAAGATTTGCTCCAGCCTAGGGTTCAGGAAACGCCGTCACCATTTTGTGTGTTTACCAAGTCACGGCTAGCCTCGTTTTGAATCCGAAATGGCGGAAGCGTGACAGAGGGTTATATTTCGACAAGCCATGGATCTACCGGAGAAAAACTCATCCTATAAGCAGCAGGAATACTGGGATAGACGCTTTTCGAAAGAGGACAACTTTGAATGGTGCAAAAGCTACAAAGATTTCGAACATTTAATCAACGAACATGTGAACCGTAGTGATCGAATACTCATTTTAGGCTGCGGAAATAGCTCTTTAAGCGAAGACATGTACTGTGACGGATATAGAAATATCGTTAATATCGACTTTTCAGCTGTAGTAATTGAGAATATGAAACGGAAATGCAAAGATTTAACCGAGATGCAGTGGATGGTGATGGACATGACAAACATGACGTTCCCAGAAGGTTCGTTTGAAGTCATTATTGAGAAGGCAACTTTGGATGCACTAATGGTGGAAGAAAGAGATCCTTGGAACCCTACAGGAGATATACGAAATAGTATGGATTGTGTTCTATCGCAGGTTAATCTTCACTCTGTAACTTCTATGTTATATATAATTTCAATTTTAGCATTTTTTCCTCTCAAAAATTGTTTTCAGTCAGGGTAACAGAAGAGGAGGGGAGCCTCTTACCTTCCATTCCTCCCTCGTGGAGAAAATTACTTTTTTACAAGCTGCTACTTCATGCGTATGGAACTTTGATGAAATTCGCTAATTATCTGTGTTGGTACGCATTTAACTTACAACAATGTGCCATAATTGTGGAAAAACAATTTGAAGGTACATTATCACAGTGTTTATGTGATAATGCTTGAGTGTAGAGTGTCTCTTTGCTTAATATATGAATATGATGTACCTGTGTTGTAACATTCTATCCCTTGTTTCTTTCCACAGGTGTCTAAAATTTTAAAAGATGGAGGACGCTTTATTTCTGTGACATTTTCACAGCCTCATTTTAGAAAACCTTTTCTTGCAAAGTTGCAATATAATTGGTCAATATCTCAACAGACATTTGGTGAATCCTTCCATTTCTTTTTCTATGTGATGGAAAAAGGAAGACCAATGAGTGATGAGGACAAAGAGTTGGAAATTTATGTGGAAAATAAAACAAAACATGACAAGGATAACAAGGCTGAAAATGAACCGTGTTGTAGAGTTGCTGAAGACACTGAGGATTTTTTATTTTATGTAGCTTTGTAACAATACTCTGAGCAGGTGCTCAAATTATTCCCGGAACCAGTTGCAAATGAGTTTGACCAGAAAGCCTGAGCAAATTAGATGTCACATATTGTAGAGCTGGAGGAAACTCTTTCCCAGGTCTCTACTCTCTTGCTCATGTTACTTTGAAAATCATTGATTGCTTGATTGAGGGATGCTTAACCCTGTAACTCCCAGATGTGATCAACATGTAACTTCTCCCTATAATATCCATACATTAACCAGCAAACAGGTAATAAGAATACCAAAGTTATCAAGTGGAAGTTGTTATCTTCATCTTACACCAAATTCTTGTCACTAATAAATTATTTACAAGGAAATGTGTAGCAGCTAGAGGGGAGAATTGACAATCAGATCTTAGGAGTTAAAGGGTTTATACAAGTTTAATTGTATGTTGGATTGACCATGTGAATAGGTTATTTTTCCTAAAACCAGATAAAGAGTGGTTTGTAAGTTGTAAAGGAAATATATGCCAAGGAATTTCAGTGCTTGGGGGCTTGTAAAGAAAATGTCATTTTCATCTGAGTTGGCAAATATACAGAGCTTATGAATGAAAGGTAATTGTGTGGTAATTGCAATTATCGGACGTACCGCGAAAAGCGTAACAGAATTACTTATTTTTTCCGGGTGCCATATATGGTGCTGGTAGTTGGTAGAATTTCTACAGTGACGTCACTTTCCTACAAGCAAAGAGGCATGGCTGCTAAGCTGATTTAATGCGCGGGCCGCGCGAAATTGAACTGCTGATTCCGTCGGCGGATTTATCGGCAGAAGTCGGAAATGGCGGATGTTTCTGCGAGTTCTTCTGCTAGTGATAATCCCAGGGTATGTATTCATTTGATATTTATGTTATCTTCGGCATTTCAATGTTTCAATTTTTAAGCTAAGCATACCTACTGAAAGCTTGAACTGAATCGTATTCGACTATTCCAGTCGCTGTTTTCGCTCGATATAGTCGCTCTCCTTGTCACCATCTCCGAAACTTATCGTTCGAAACTTATCATCTTCGAAATTTATCGTTCTTTTTCCCAATAACTTTCAGCTGGAATTTAGTAGGAGCCCTGATAATACTTGCGTTTCGTACGATTTTCGACTGTGAAGTGTGAAATTAATCACAATCGCCACTTTTATCTGTATCAACGCTACAGAAACTTTTTTGTTTTGCTTGTAAGATAACTGTGACGACGCTTCAAGTATTCGTGAATCTTTTGTATAACTGATGTCTCTCGAGTGAGATTACATGTTGAGTATCAATAATATGAGGGCATACATACGCGGACTTTACACGCATTTTATGCATATGTAAGTATTTCTCGGCTTTATACGAATTACCCTTTATACTACTTATGTACAAATCAAAACAAACAACCAAAGGTATTTCACTACAAATATCCGTGCATAATTTTTAGCCAAATGTAGGCTATTGTGTTTACTATCCTTCATTTTACACAATGCTTGACCAGCAGGAAAACTTCCTGAGGGTGGATCACAAAAATGGCAATTCCGGCCCACCCCAGTTGGAGCGAAGTAATCAGAGGAAAAAACCAAAAACACGGAAACAAACATATGCAAAGGGACACAATAAACAGTTTTGCTTTCACCAGACTGGAATAACATTAATAACATGCATGTCTTTTCATTTAGTTAACATTTACCTAGAAACCTTATTGTTAAAGCCTGTGCGGAGTCCTTGGACGCACCGGAATTATACTTCTAGTTTTATGCGTTTTCAGCGCTTTCAGTTAAGTCTTGTGTCTTAAACTTTTCTCATGCTATCCTAGCATTCCTTGTGGGTTATTGTGCTAGTAAACCCCAGGTTTTGCTTTGCAATGACCAGTAATTTGCCAGTGGTTTTTAGGGGGAGGAGAGGAGAAAGCAAGTGATCACTTTTATATTAATAGCTAATATGTATCATGCTTTCCTCATTTTCCACATGGAACAGTTTTCGTTTGTTTTCAACTAAATCATTTTATATCATAGATGTTGCCTGAAGAACCAATGTCTGAAGAAGAAGAAGAACAGGAAGAAGTGGAGGTACAGCTTTATGTACTTTAATTGTAATAAGTGTGCACAGTGGTTGCATCTTAGTTTGTGAATTAAGTTTGTGAGACATATAACCACTGAAATGTTATTGCATTTCTGTAAAGAAGAGTCTTAAAAATGATGTGAGCAAAGGTAGTATGGTTGCATTGTAACTTGTACTGCCGAAGTTAAGTTTAGATTTATAATGACTGTCAGTGGGTGGATAGACTTGTTAACCTTCCTTGAGATTGTTGAATGGTGATCAAGTATTTTTCTTTGACAAATTTGACTGAATGCTATTACACTTGGGGCTCTCTTACCATTGTGACAAGTTACTACACTTGTGCCTTCAACAATGGTGTGTTTAATTCAGTGTGTAGGCTTCACTGTTCATTTGTACATACAATATAATTTTAAAAGCACTTAAAATGGAGCAATAAATTTATCGTCATCTTTTTGTGCTGCTTATTTTACAGAATTCATCAGCATCTGAATATGAAGATGCTTCTGATTCAGAAAGTGATGGAAATGATGAGGTAAATTATTTTTTTCTCTACATATTCATAACAATATGATGACTACAGGTTGTTTAAAAAATCAACTAGAAACACTTTCAGCTCTGGATTTCATAGCTACATGTACATACATTAAGTGGTTTACGTTTTATTTTTTCATTACAAATAATATTCTTGTCTTGTTTATCAAAGTTCTTAAAGTCTTTTGTTTTTCATGAAAAAATTTTCTTTATTTCTGTTGACTTTTGCTCTAGCTATCTAGGAAATATGTGCCAAGTTGATTTCCTTGACGTCCAACATGACCTGAATAGCTTGCATAATTGGTCCACTGATAGTGAGAATTTTTCCAACCATCTAAATGTGTAAACCTCAGGAAACAAGAAAAGGACGAAGCTCCGAAAGGTTATATAGGTTAATGGATGAGGATCTTTAAATTGCCTCTTCCGCGAAAGACCTTGGCGTCATTGTCTCTAAGGACTTGAAGTGGACTGCACACATTACTCACGTGGTTGCAAAATCTAATAGAATGCTGGTATTCCTAAAAAGGAACTGCTCGGGTGACCTCAATGAGGATCTCTGAAGCTACTTTATATCTCTCATGTGTGCTCTAACCTGTGTTATGCCTCACAGCTTTGGGCACCACAATCTCCTACATTGATGCTAGAATTAGAAAATATCCAAAGGAGAGCTACACTTTTTATCTTGAACCTTAACCTCCTACCTCTCAACTACTGGCTGGAATATCTTGATTATTATTTCTCTACAAGTGTATTTATGGAATTATTGTTATTAATTTAGATAACTCTGCTCAATTTTGTTGTGGGTGTTCCCATTGGGGATCTTCTGGGCTTTTTCTCAACAACAAAACTGCTAAAACATCTCTTTTCCATGATTCCTTCTTCATCCGAATAACAAATCTGTGGAATGCATTACCTATCGCTATAAGATCAGAGGTAAAGTTCCTTTTAAGAAAAAGTTAAAATGGTTTTTTATGATAGACTAAGTTCAATGTTCAATCATTATGATATTTGTTCTTATGAGTTAGTCTGTCTGAAGTGTCACTGTGCCAATACTATAACATGTTGTTCTTGTTAATTTCTCAAAATGTTTTTCTTTTTTTTTTTTTCATTATTATTTTTATCAGGGTTCCAGGGAAGGGTTGTCAATTTTTTAGGGGAATGGTTAGGTGGTGGGTTTACTTAGCAGGGTACCCAAGGTTCTATTGTATGCCCACCTACCTCAAGGCGAATTTTGTAAATAAATAAATAAATAGCAAATAAAATAAGTTAATTTTACTATTCACTGCTTTCAACAGGTCAAGATTCGATGTTTCAATACGTCATGTTTTTAGAGTCCACCCATTTAAAAACATATTCATTTTTAAACACTGCATGTTTTTTCAGTCAATTTATATAAGTTATAAAAATACTTCACTACACTTAATGGGTGATTTCACTGTAAAACTGAACCTCTGAAACTCATGCAGAAAAAAGAAATTAGATCCACATTGATCGCATTCTTGATTACCTTTGGCTTGATTTTGACTTACAATTTACAGTAGCTTGGGTTTGGACATGTACTGCATTATGATCATGCCAGGATAATTTTATATCTGAGGTACAAAATCGATTTATTGCAGAGTTTTTATTTTAAATTTCCTACTTTATTTCTTTTCTTGTGCACAGGACAGTGAATTCATGGACTTTCTATCTAAGCTAAGGGGATCAACTGAAATCAAAGCAATTCTCAACAGTGATGGCCACTGTTCCATTCCAAGAATAGTGGAAGATTATGAAGCAGTTGTTGGGATAACAGCCATCACTGATACCAGAAAGGAGGGGCCTTCATCACTTCACACGTTGCCATTTATTAACTCCTTGAGGGAAGTGTCCTCTCAACTGCAAACATTTCAGGCCTCTCCTGAGACTCCAGATGGAACAGCCTGTGGTTCAGCGCTGAATGCTGCCCGTCAAATTTTGTATTGGTCGTCTGTTTTATTTCAATGATGGAGGCCAGCAATACAGGGCAGCCTACATGTACCGTATCATTATCCACTTCCACATCATCCACATTGTCAACACCAACATCATCTACATCAGTGTTAGCTTCACCAACATCATCTGCATCAACATCATCTGCATCATCATCATCTGCATCAATATCATCTGCATCACCATCATCTGCATCAACATCATCAACATTGGCATCATCTAGTTTGACACCATCTGTATTAACATCATTTACCTTGACATCTTCTGTATCCACATCACCTACATCATCTAGGTCATCTTTATCCAGTCATAACCCACCTGCTACAACTTGTGCATCTTTGTTGTCAAATGTTATTCCACTATCAGTGCAACCTTTATCCTCATTTAATCAGCAGTCTTCCTGCTCAGTAGTAAATCCTCAACCTTCCACTTCAGATACTCTGCCATTTGGTCAGCATTCTCTGTCATTTCCTCCAGTTTTTCTGCTACTGGTTGTACAGCGTCTCCGTTTTTTTTTCATGCTCAGCTATCTTCATCAACTCCACTCCTACCTTCCACATTATCTGGACAACCTGCAACATTGCCTCCTCAAGCTCCCTCTATCTCATCCTTGCCAGTGGAAGTCACACCATCACCATTACAACAAGTTTCATCATCTTTAAGCCTGTCACATCCGTCATGTAGTCAGCCTTCATCTTCACAGTCAAGTGTCCATAATTATTCAATTTCATCTATATTCTGCCCAGTCATTTCATCCACTGCATCCACTGCCTTGCAGACATTTCATCAAAATTCTCCTGCTCCAGCTCTTCAGCTATCTTCACCCTCAGTTTCATCTGTTTTGTATCATCAAGTGCCACCAGCATGCTCTTCTGTGGTATTAGATTCTGTGACTCTTAACATCCATGCCAAATATGGTCTTCCTGGTCAATCCTGTTTAGACTGGCTAAATTCATTAACAATTCCAAGAAATGTTGAAAGTCTGGAGCAAGTGAAGGAGATCTGGGAGCTTGGAAGCCAACATTGTCCACCATTAAGAGATTGGACTGTGCTAATGAGGAACTTTAAGTCATCCAAAGGACGAAATACTTCCATTTACAGTCAACGTAAATTTATTTATTTATTATTTCAACGTCATGGGTTTGATGTTAGCAGCATCTCTTCTCAGTACAATGAAGTTAAACCTGGTAAACTATACAAACTTTTAAACACTAGTAAACAAAATTGATGAATGTTGTTCCTGAAATCATTGACTACATTTTAATTCCTATCAATAAGTTAAAGCCTTGTATAAGGAAGCTGGTGGCCAACAAAAATTTCCCTGCTTTCCTGCATGAATCTTGACTGGTTACTTTGTTACTGGTTGTTTTCAAGTGCCGTATTTGTAGGAGTGCTTAGCAATAACTGGTCAATTTACCTGGCAGTTTTCTCGATGTACATGTAAATATATGCCTGCAGTTCATTGTGGTAGTTTTGCTCAACATTTTATGCATGAAAAGTAGCATCTTGAAGTTTAATTTTCATGTGGCTTCTCAATACTTGTTATTGGTTTTACTGGCCAGTATTTCTGCCGTTTCCTCCACTTGCTTCTTGCTCGGCAGTGAACGAGAGGAAATTAACGTAAAATTTGAGATACTTATAGTTTATCGCATTGTTGTTTTATAGTAATAATCTTTAAAAAAATTTTCATAGGACAGATATTGATTATTCCCTATTGTAGCTATTCAGTGTGCAACATTTTTGATGGAACACTTAGTGAGATCTACATGTGTAGACCTTAATACTTCTCACCCATGGATCGAAATACATTTCATTTGATTTATTTCAAAAAAGGAAAATGCACGACGCATTCCATTTTAGTTTTTGCATGGAACTCCTCTGATTCTCTGGAGGTGCTGTCATGATTTAAATGAAAACTATTTCAGGCCCTTATTTGATCCACTTCAAATGTACAAATACCTTTCTTGTAAGACCTTCGACGCATGGAAGTAACAATTTTACTCTGACATCATACAACACCATTTATACTGTTTCCATCTCTCCCTCGTTTCCATTTTCCCGTTCCTTCTTTCGCTTTCCCTTTCCTTTTCCCTGTCCTTGTTTGTCTCCCTTTCTTCCCAGGTTAGGGTTAAAGGCCGCTTGGTGTCTCCAAAGAGGATCCAGAATGTCGGCCTATCTTATTTCCCTAAAAATAAACATTTGTTTTCGATTTTAGGAAACAAAAAAGAACCTTTTCCATTTGTCGGCTTAAGAGGTTCTTGAAGTTAAAGGCTAAAGAGGTTCTTTAGCTTAACAGGATCTTAATCGTGGGTTATGTTACTGGGCGTCTTTATACGCGTTTAGCCGTCGCATTTGCCCGCTGGAATACTATGTTGTTTTAGCGCGAGGACAAGAATTCCAACTTGCAATTGTGACGGCAATGCGCGTGTATTGCAAGTAAATACGCCCGTTGTATCGACTATTGATTGAGGTTGTTATAAAATAATCGTCCTGTACGGGCGGTGGAATGCATATTGCTTACACCTTATTGCATTGACGTCAATACCAAAGCAAAGAACCAAAATGGAGTTAGTTAAATGATAATACGTTTCAACACTAACAACCGTCTATTGCTGCTAATTAATATTGCAATTGAAATAAATAATTAGCATAAATTAAAGTTTTTCTGGTGCCATTTTCATGCGCAATACTGATTTATCTAGCTCATTTCAATTAAAATAAGGGAATGTAGATCACGTGCCTAATTACTTCCTGTCGTTGTTGTTATTGTTTTTTTTTTGTGTGTTTTGCTTGTATCTTTTTCCTTTTTGAAATGACAACGTTACGACGATTAGATGTCTTTCACAACGTAGAGTTTTGTCTGGATCCGCATGGCAATCGTTAAACCGTTTCACCCGACTTAATTTCTATTTCCTTGGCTTGCATCGTCCTTGTCGCCAGAGCCGCTTGTCCTTCTTAGCCGGCTGAGCCCGTGCACGAGAATCTTGGCCGGTTTTACACAAAAAGAACGGCCAATCAAAGGAGCCGTCGTAAAATTACTTTGTTATACAGGAGTTTGAAACTGTTGCTTCGACTGGCTCGATTTTAAACTCCCTTTCAAATCCGGCCGACCAAATCATGTGTCCCGAGAACCACTTGTTTCTCGTGCACAGGCTAAGAAGGACAAGCGGCTCTGAGGATCAGAATGGGCCTGAATATCATTGTGAACAGGCTGTTTGGTCAAGAACGTCTTTATTCCATCTTTTAATTCATTTAATGAACGATCGCAAAATGCGATACATCTACTGACCACCAATTGCGTTTTCACGTAATATGTGTTGTAAAAAGTAAAGGCTATAGTCCATACTTTTTATTCCATATATTGCGTTGACGCAATTTGTGGTTCTAGTAGATGTACCACATTTTGCGATCGCGTTAAAGCGTCTTACTATTCTTTTACCAGGTTTTGCGTTATTACAAACTGTGGTATGAAAAGTATGGACGGTATAGCCTTTACTTTTGAAACCACAATTTGCAATAACGCAAAACCTGGTAAAAGAACAGTAAGACATATTTTTAAACCGGAGAACGAACCTCGAAAAATGTGGTACATCTACTAGAGCCATATATAAATCGCGTTAACGCAATATATGGTATAAGTAGTCTTCCACCCAATTTAGCTGAGGTCCTACTACTTAACTGATCAGTAAAGGGACTGATCCAGAACGCCAGCATCCATAGCTGACGGGCTCATTTTATTTATTCTGTTCTGTTTTCCTTTCATTTATGGGCAATTGAGAACAAGTTTCCAAACGTAATTGTGTATAGGTATTGTAATTTTTCTCAACGATTAAACTTTAAACGCGGAATATGGGACTTCTAGTATAGTTTGCGGCGACTCAATCTTGGTCTGATTAATGAAAGCCATGTTTCGCGATCAGATTCTTATAGCAAAAGATGGGTTTTGGTATAAAACACATTTTGCGATGTTTCAATCTGTGTCTAATTAGTGAAAGCCATATTTTGCGATGAAATATTTAACGCGAAATGTGGGATTCTTGTATAAAACGTATTTTGCGATGTTGCAAACTGCGACTTCATTAAACGCCACAGAATGCGACACCTCAAAATATGGTTTCTTGGTGAGCACGATTTTCCAAATTCGCGAGACACAAACACTCCACTGGAAAATTAATTTTGGTTCTTGACGAATTTTTCGGATAAGGTACTTCTGGGAACCCAGGTTTTGCGATATCTCAAACTATGGCACATTTTAGGAACACATTTTGCGATAACTCGATCTGTGTCTTATCGATGAAAACCATGTTTTGCAAACAAACTTTAAACGCAAAATATGGGATTCTGGTGCAAAACGCATTTTGCGATGATTCAATCTGTGGCTCATTTAACAAACGTACAAAGATTCCCTCGTTTTGATTTTATGGCGATTTCTGATTTCTTACTTTACTTTAATATTTGGGAGGTAGTCATGTTGCGAATATACCTCTACGGGATCATCACGTAGTAGTGGTGAAGTGGTTCGTGTGCCTCTATGAACCCATAGAGGTATGCCGGCGGTAGTCTCAATAATATATTTATACAGGGTAACCCTACAGTACATGAGCATTGTTATTAAAGGGGTCTTTTGGGTAAGGGGCTATAACCAGGTGTATTTTTTTGCTTCCAGGTATAAGGGCCTATAATAAGGGGGAACTTGAGAAAGGATTCGAAGAGAAACACGTCAATACAAATGGGTGGGGGCAATACAAGAGAGCGGAGCGTGCAACTGCGGTAGAGAGGACATAATGGGAAAAGAAGCACTAGAAGAGATCGATGAGAATGAAGACATTCATTGACTGCTGCGCCTTCAATGATTTGTCCATTGAAGGCTCCTTCTTCCAACACAAGGAAATACACAAAGTAACATTACCTACACCTGCCTTCACCAGTACAATCAAATGGATCACATCACAGTCTCAAAGAAGTGGAAAAAAAAAAACCCTTTTGATGTTAAAGTCACAAGAGGATCGGATGTT